CCTGCGGCCGGCGCACTGCGCGCTGGCGTTCGAGGGCAATGAGCACCACCAGGTGGGCAGAAGCGCCGCGGCCGGACGCCTGCAGCAGCTGCACGAAGCGGCACGACAGGTCTCCCGCCGCCCGGCGCGGCTCGCCCAGCAGGTCCCAGGCCAGCTGCGACAGCGCGGTACCTCCGCACGCGTACAGGTCCGCCAGGGCCAGCTGCACCAGCAGGAAGTCCATCTTGCGACGCTTGGGACCCGCCCAGGGCCCGCCACCCCCGCGCAGGCGGCACAGCACCGTGGCGTTGCCGGCCACCGCCACCACCAGGATGACCCCCAGGAAGACCAGGCGGATGCCGCGGCTGGGTGGTCCGGGAGGCGGCGGCAGCGGCGGCGGCGGCGGCGGCCCGGGGGCTGGGGTCCCCTGTCCGGAAGTGAAGTTGAGACTCCAGCCAGGAGAGACAGGTACGGAGACGTTGGGCGCCGGCGAGAAAGTTGAGGGGCTGAAGGGATCCTCCATCCTTAGCCTGGGGGAAAAGGAGGTATGGAAGCGGGCCGGCAGGGCGCGGGAAACCCAGGTGGAGGCGAGGCTGCCAGGGGCACGACGCCGCGTCTACGAGTTCCCAAAGTTAGTTGAAAACGCACACACACACACGGAGGGAAATGGATTCGGGTAGACTTGCGCCTAGTTGTTTTTATAGGTTGTCCTCGTCATTTGTCACTCAAATGTGGGTTGTACACTCGAGGAACACACATGATTCTTATTCTCCACCTTCTCCGTGTCTCTCCTCCCAATCCCGCTGGTTGCCCCTCCGATCTGCCGCGGCTCCCACGGTGCGCTCGCGGTAACAGCGGACCACAGAGCTCTGGGTGCCTCTCGGTTCGCTATTTACACGTAGAGCACAGCAGGGCCGAAGCTCGCTTTGCCTGGCCCTTGCAAAAAGCTCACGTTAGCTGGGACCAACATAACAGAGAGGAAGGTCCTGACCGAGATTGTACGTCTCAAAATGGTTACGGATTGCCGGGGGCGGATAGAACAGACACTAGTTTTGATTAAAAAAAAAATCGGAAATGGGAAGTGCCATGGATCTGCGTGTACTAGCATGAGAAAAACAGGAAACACAAGAAACCCAACAGCGTTTGGGGCAAAGAGGAGCCCAGTAGATGAATCTTTGATAAAGATATGCCTTCCTCTGGCCAACAATCAGAGTATTTACTTGCAGAGAACTAAAGTAATGATACTGCTTGGCATTTAGGAGGAGCAGTGATTTGCAGATGTTTCAAATACTCCTCATTACTAGAAGCAGTGGATCGCAGCTGCTCTCAGTGATGTAAAATTCACTGCATTAATCTGAAGAGGGCATTAATAGGTTTTATGCAAATGGTAGTACATTTGTTGATTTTTTTCTTAATATTTTCATCCAGTGACGGATGTGTCATCATGGCTCTTCATTCTCTTGATTCTGTTTTCCAAGCAGATGGAGGTTGCTGGGAGGGACTACGCCCCCAATAAGCCTAGAGAAAAGGTGACTAAGAAAATGATAAGACGGCCAATTTTTAAAAAGAAATCCAAGTCACAGGACATGGTTTAGATTCAATGCTATCTCTTTTATTTTAGCCTTATCTGCTCACAAACAAATTTTAATTTTCCTGTTGAAAGCTTCAGTTTGTCTTTTATGCACCCTCCACATGATCACGGTGCATGCAAGTAGATTTCCTGCGCTTCCTGGTCTGGGCATCTGCTGGGATTCACTGTTCCAGGCTGAGGACACATTTGGCACTTTAAGATGCTCCAGAGAGGAGGGTTTGGTGGATGCAGAAGACAGTCCTCTTAGTTGCCTGGAGGAATCCTAATTCCCAAAGTGTTGTCCTTTGGCCAGAGACCTTTGTCATTTTTTTTTTTTAAGATTTTATTTATTTATTTGACAGAGACACAGCGAGAGAGGGAACACAAGCAGGGGGAGCAGGAGAGGGAGAAGCAGGCTTCCCGCTGAGCAGGGAGCCCCATGCGGGACTCGATCCCAGGACCCTGGGACTATGACCTGAGCCGAAGGCAGACGCTTAATGACTGAGCCACCCAGGTGCCCGACCTTTGTCATTTTTATTATCCTTTCCCCAGTGCCTAGCACTGGGCCTGACACAGGCTAGATATCAGGAAACATGTTTTGAATTGCTGAACTAATGGATATATGATGCATTTCAGAGAACTTTGAGCAAATGTTCCTGCTTTGACGATAAATCCATCAACCTGAGGGGAAAAAAAGCCTTTCATACCTATGCCAATATCATCCGGAGGAGCCCAGGGAAGCTCTGGGGAGATGGGGGCAGAGCCATTCTTGGTGGAACACTTGAAAAAGAGGTAGAGCGATAGCCTTGGGAAATCAAACTCTTGGTTTAATTTTCACATTCTCCCCTCGGAGGCTTTGGCCGAGGCCTTTTTCTTTGTAACATACATCATCCTAGCTTATGATCCGCTTCTTCCAGGGAGCTCTCTCTGAGCAGTACCCATAATTCAGTTATTTCTCTAGCCAATATCAGTTTAATAGTTCTCAAGATAATTCTATAATTTGTCTCAAATTTGTTGAAATGCTCTCATATAACAAGGCTCTACCAGTGAAATTACATTTCACAGAACTTTACCAAGACCTGATAAATCATTGATTTAAAAAAAAATAATTGTTCTCAAAATAACACATACACATAGTTTGGAAAGTCGAATAGAACTAGAGGGCTGACAACAACATAGTTTTCCTGTCCACGCACCCTCACTCCTCCTTCCCCTCTTCTAGATGGAACCAATTTAGAATCGATTTACTGTTTCTTCTGGCATTTACTTAATTCCAGAATTCTAAATAGCAAATGTGTAATGCGCTATCTATTAGCTTCTCATAAGATAATTTCTCCTTTCCCATACTTAATACAGTAATAATGTAATTTTGGGTTAGATCTATATTTAGTGTTTACATTATTATGAAATGAAAATATTCCCAGGTGAATGTTATAGATATTATGAATATCATTTTCTTTTTCTTGAAGTTAATAATTGCCTTAAATTTCATTGTTACATAGCTTATTCTTCCTATACCTCTAAGTAGTACCTCAGTTCAGTTTTGTAACATAATGTAGCAATTCCAGTTTATTTTTCTTGGAAACGTTCTTACTGGAGACCTCCATTTCCTTCCTGTGTAGGCTGATTTCTCTCTAGGCCTCCTATACAACTATCATTCTAGAATGTCTATTTGTTGTCATCACTGAAACTCTGTCTTTCTTTTGGGTTGGAATTCTTGTTTCTTGGATCTCTGGTCCTTTTTCTTGGTTTCTTTTCCTTTTGGTAAAACACATCATCCAACATGTTATAAGGTTAAAAAGATTGTGCAGAGGCTGAGGACATAGCTGTGGGAGTCTTGTTGCGCCTATTTCTTGAGTCACGTTGCCCTCCAGGACAGCTGTTACCCAGGCATCTCCCTTTACCATTATCCTAGAGACTCCTTTCACTATCTCATGCTGGGTTTCCTGCTTTCTAATTTCGTGTGTGTGTGTGTGTGTGTGTTTTCTTCTTGGTTTATTTCCCTGCTTGGGTAGAATGCATCCTTCAGTGACTTCTAGAGAAAGGATAAATTTTGGGGATCTTGCATGTCTGGATATTTCTTTATTTTACCATCATGCTTAACTGATGACTTGGCTGGAGTTAAAATTCTACGCTGGAAATGCTTTCCTTCTGAATTTTGATGGCATTGCTCCATTCCCTTCTGGGTTCTAAGTGTTTGTGTTTAGAAGCCTAAAGCCACTCTGGTTCCTGATTTGTGTAAATGTGATCGTTGTTTTTTTCATTCTAGAACTTGATTCTTCCCTTGTCTCTGACAAATTTCACAAGGATGTATTTAGTTGGATCCACTGCATGGGTTGTATTTAATTGCATTATTTCTCTAGTGGCCTTTAATCTAGAACAGTTTCCCAGTCTTTCTTTTTCCTTTCATGACTCTGACAGGTCTGAAGGGTCCATGACGCATGTTTGGTAGAATGTCTCTAAAGTTGTATCTGTTTCCACATAATTAAATTTGGATTAGAGTTTTGGGGCTGAAATACTACATGGGTAATACTGTGTTCTCAGTGCATCATTTCAGGGACATACAGTGCTAGTCTGTCTCAATACTGTGATGTTAAGCTTGGCATATGTTTTTAAAACATAAGGTTTTGGGTTCTGTGCTCGTCCTCCAGAGGTAGCCACTCCCTGGCCCATATCCACCTGGCCTACTGAAGGGGCTCCATTCGATCTCTAGCCCTGCTCCCAATCTTTCTCATGAGTGCTGCTTCAGGTCCATGAAAAAAGTTCATGGTGGTTTCCCTTGTGTGGGGGGCTCCCAGAGTTTCTATTGTTATTTTCACACACATTGGACTAAAATTTTAAGGATTTATCAAAGTATCAGTTGTTTGGTTACCCATTCTTTTGGCTGCTAGTTTCCCACCCCCCCACACACTCTGCCAAAGGTGACCCAGATTGAGTGTCTCACCCCTTCTCAGAGGAGCTTGCTACCCTTTTGAATTCAGTTTACCTGTTGCCTTGCAGCCTCAGGCACCTGATGGGCTCAGAAAAAGCTTAGATTATCTCACTTTTTTTTTCTTGATTTTTGTTAACATGGGAGGAATATTCCCTTGCAACCTTCCCTATCCTATGTGAAAGCACAACTCTCAAAACATTATTTAAGGATACCAATCCTTTGCTATAAATATTACAAAATTGATGCTTATTTTGTTGTCTAACTTCTTGAACAGATTATTTCTTCTTAATAATAAAAAGTTTAAGGGGCGCCTGGGTGGCTCAGTCATTAAGCGTCTGCCTTCGGCTCAGGTCATGATCCTGGGGTCCTGGGATCGAGCCCCGCATCGGGCTCCCTGCTCAGCAGGAAGCCTGCTTCTCCCTCTCCCGCTCCCCCTGCTTGTGTTCCCTCTCTCGCTGTGTCTCTCTCTGTCAAATAAATAAATAAATAAAATCTTTAAAAAAAATAATAAAAAGTTTAAGGCTAAAAATATTCTGAGTGTAGTTCTGGTTGTGTGTCACATGTTCTGAGTTTTCTCATTTTCTTTATTTTAAAAATAGCATAGAACTGTAATTTTTTGACCTAAGAATTATTTAAGATTCTGCTTTATAACTTTATTTTTTAAAAAGATTTTATTTATTCATTTGAGAGAGAGAGAGGTGGAGAGAGCACAAGCAGGGGGAGCAGCAGAGGGAGAGGGAGAAACAGACTCCCTGCTGAGCTGGGAGCTGGACATGGGCCTTGATCCTAGGACCCAGGGATCATGACCTGAGCTGAAGGCAGACGCTTAACCATCTGAGCCTCCCAGGCACCCCTCTGCTTCATAACTTTAAATTGTGTTTTAAAAGGGCTAAAAATCTTACCTGAGAACTTTATAATTATAAACAACACACACACACACACACACACATCCATAACACATGATCAGTGTACAAGGGAAGAGTTCTAGCACAGGTCTAGATCTTTCCTGTCTTCCCCACTGATTTTCTTCCACCTAGTTTGTGTTGAGAAATATCTTTCTTTTTCATGGCCCCTCATAGCCAAGTTCTTAGTTTGAGTCAGTGATTTATAGTATGATTTAATAGCCAGTAAGAATAGTCTCATCTTAACTTTCTTTTTCCATAATTTTATTAGATATTTGAGACTTTTTTTCCATGAAAACTTTAAGATTGTTTAGTCCAGTTAAGAAAAAAAAATCCCCAAACCCTATTCAGATTGTACAAAATTTATACATTAATTCTGGAGAAGTGACATTTTAACATAAGATCCTCCCATCCAAGAACTTGCTGTCATTTCATGTTCATATCTTGTTTGTATACTTCAGTAGAACCTTATAATTTTTTTTATCTAGGTAGTGCCTCTTGTTAAAATTTATACTCTGTCATAATGTGAGATATTTTTCCTAATTTCCATTTTTACTTAGTGATTATTCTTATAGATTTATATCTATTTTTGTATATGTAGCTATTTAACAAATTCCATCAATTCTAGTAGTTTTTATTAGGATGCCCTAGGTTTAATGAGATGGAAAACCACCAAGAGTAGAAGGATAAATACAAAATCTACCCTTTTATTTTTAACAGAGAGAAATAAAAACATATAAGGCTCCCAGGTGATGTGGATATTTCTGGTCCAAGGACCAGAGTTTGAATAATAAGGTTCCAGAACCTTGGTTCCCAGATTTTGCTACACATGAGAGGCATCTGGGAAGCTTTTAAAAATCTCAGAGCTTAGAGGTTGGAGCCAGGCATTAATAGTTTATATAAACAGCCTCAGGTAAGTCCAGTTTGCAGCAAAGTTGTGAACCACTGTTCTAGACTAGGGGTTAGCAAACTGTGGTCCACAACAGGTCAAATCCCGTGTTTTTGTCAACAAGGTTTCATTGAAAAGAAGCCATGCTCATCTGTTTACATATTGTCTATTGCTATTTTCACGCTCCTCGGATAGTACTGAGTAGTTGTGAAAAAGGCCATATGGTTCACAAAGCCTAAAATATTCGGTATCTGGCCTTTTTCATAGAAAAAGATGAAGAAGAATAGAGTCCCCTCGTCAACTCTCCTGTGCGGGCTTTTGCTAGAACTTACTGTTTTTAGAAGGCTCTATTTATTGAGAGCCTAATGTGTTGGTTTTCTAATCCAGTGTGTTATCTGAAAGACTCTAATTCCCAGCCAATTTATTCAACAAGTATTAATAATCTTCTGTGTCTCAGGCACTTGGGATACTTTAGGAGACTAAAAGGACAAAAAGCCATGCCTGTACAGAGCGCTTTCATCCTAGTGGGGTAGGAGGGATGGGGCACAGTATAAACAAATTAAATAGGTGAAATATACCCTACATTGGATGGTAATGATTACCACAGAGAAAAATCAAGCAGGCAAGTCCTTGTGAGAAAGGTAACACTAGAGCAGTAATTTGAAGGGGGCAGCAGAGTGAGCCATGTGGCAATCTGAGGAAAGAACCGAATTCCCAGCAGAAAGCCTTGACAAGCACAAAGGTCTTGAGGTGGTGCATGCCTGGGGTGCTAGGAATCAACAGGGATGCCAGTGTGGCCCGAAGAGAGTGAACAAAGTGGGAGTGTGGGAGGAGAGGTGGTCTGTGAGGGAATATTCAGCCAGACAGTCCAGGGTCCTGTAGGCCTTTGTGATGATTTTGGCTTTTACAGAGTAAGACGGGAAACCTGTGGAAGGTTTTGAGTGTCCGGTGAAGTGATGTAATATATCTTTAACAGGATCACTCTGGCTGCTATGTTGAGAAAAGACTGAAGAAAGCCCAGGGCAGGCTCAGGGAGACCTCTTAGGGGGCTACTACAAAATTCCAAACAGGAGATTATGGTAGACTGGAACAGGGTGGAGCAGCGGAGGCAGTAAAAATGAATCCCAAAGACTGTCCTCAATTTAGTTTATAATTCGTGTCAGTTTCTCTCAGATCCTGGCATTCATTTCTTAATTTTCCAAGTTTTTCTTCTTTTTCTGTTTTCATGGTTGTTAGATACCAGTTTGAGTTATATTTTGTCCTAAAAACTCAGCTGTACCTAAGTATGATCCTATATCCAATATACTTAAAACATTGTGGATGCTTGGTAAGTTCTAGCAACGAATGCATCTTGAAGGGTTTGGGTAGAACGAGATGGATTGTATTATCTTCACATGCCTGTTTTCAGAACCACATTTCTATTATTATTGCTTTATTTTCCCCCTGTAATTAGCATTTCCACCCACACACTAGCTATTTCATGTTCTTTAGGTTTAACTAGGAGATGGGAGGGAGATTTGTGTATTTTCATTTTAATCTTAATATAATGTTGAGATCTTTTCCTTGAGGGCTTTATACACTTCAGAATGTATCTGAAGTGAAATTTATTTCTCAGAAATTCATACATAACTGCAAAGATAAGCTCATACAAATTCAGTGAAGAAGAGTAAGAAAAGGAAATGAAGTGGCCCATGAAGAAAACTTCAAAGAGAGTTTGAAGAGGAAGTTAGGTAAAATTATTATTTGGAGATCAGCCTTTTACCTGAAAAATATTAGATACCAACTGAAAAACTATTGGTACCAAAAAATATTCTATTATTGGTGAAAAATTAATATATAGAAAAAGAATCTGCATATATAAACAACCAGTTAGAAGATATAATGGAAGAAAGATCACTTAAAATAGACACCACCAACAAATGATAAAACAACTAGGAATAAACTCATCTCTGCCTACACGTCAGGATCATTAGCTAGAGAGCTTAAGGGAACAATAAGAAAGAACAGTGCCCAGATGCCATCCCCAGAATTCTAATTTCATTAATGTGGGGTGGGGCCTAGACAGTATTTTTTTAAAGGTCCTTACTTTTCAAAAAATCTCTATAGAAACCGATCCATTAGAAGAAAACTTAGGATACTACTGTGAGATCAAAGAAACCTTAAAGAAAGGGAAAAGTGTAATATATTTTTTAGAATAACTGAAGATCATAAAGAGCTCAATTCTCCCTAAAATAGGTTATAAATTTAATATGGTTTCATAAAAAGACTAACAAGATTTTTCATTTCTGAGCTAGGCAAACTTATTCTAAATTTGTGTGGAAAACCCAAGTTAGCAAGAGTGGCCAGGACAACTCTGAAAAAGGAAAGTGTTGGAAAGGAACTAGTCTGACCAGAGAAGGACTATCACATCAGTAAACAAAGTAGATTGGTCCACGGGAAGATAAAAAATGTTCTGAAAGGACCCAAATGTAAATGAGACTTTGGAATATGATAAAATGATATTCCAAATCTAAATAGAGAAAAAGATAATTTATTCACTAAAAGGTGTTATATAATGAAATGGCATTTTCTAACCAAGTAGACAAATGTTACTTACTCAATAAAAGGTCATTTGGGTAGCCATCTTAAAATAACAAACCAAAGTTAGATTTCTAATATGGAATACATTCCAGAGGGGGCAAAGATCTAAGGACAAAAATAAAGCTCTAAAAGAAGTTAAGTGGGGAATACCATGCTGAATATGTATGACACAAACCCCAAAGCCATAAATGCAAAGATTCATAAATTTGATTGCATGAAAATAACAATTTCCACAGGTTAAAAACACCAGAACAAAGTCAAAAGACAAATTACAAAAAGGAAAAAAAATGTGCAGCTTCTATTACAGACAAAAAGCTAAGATCCAAAACCATGCCTGTAATAAAAAAGACAAGCAATAGAAAAATAGGCAAAGAATAGAAATAGGAAAGGTCACAGTGAAGGAAATTCAAATGGCTATTAAATATATGAAAATATGATCTATCTTCTCATAATAAAAACATTAAAAAGAATATATTTTTATTTATCAGGTTGGTGAAGGATGTGAGGAAGTGCATCACTGGTGAGAATTTAAATTGGTATAACTTCTCTGGCGGTAACTTGGTGTAATTTTGCTAGATACAGTCTTGCCCCAGCAATTTCACTTCTAGGTGTTTTTAAGTGGGAGAAAAAAAGGGCAAGATGCAGAACATTTTATAGAGTAAGCTCCCTTTTTTTTGGGTGGGGGGTAGGAATACAAAGTTTGTTTGTTAGATATACTGTGTATCTTTAAAAGGATACTTAGGAAGGTGGTTACAGTTGCCCCAGGAAGGGGAACTGGGAAAAGAGGGACATTTCATGTTCATTTGCTCACTCTTTTGTACCTTGTGCATATATTACCAGTTTTAAAAACCAGTAATAAAGTCAGCCAGATCCAGGATCTGTGTCCCATCAAATACTCTGAATACTCCCATCAAATACATCCAAATGATTTATGCCCCATCAGATGCAAATAACTCATCAGACACCATCAAATACAAATAACTATTTTATGGTTCATAAGTCATAATGGTTAAAATTGTCTATATTCCATATTATTCAGAGGAATATAACTTTATATTATACTACTTGCTTCCATCCTTTTAATACGTCCATTAAGTTGTTAAAAGTAAGAGGTCTTGATAGTAATCATATTTGAAAATATGTAATTCTGTAATGATTACTACTTTATTTTAAAATAGAATACACTCTTTAAAAGTAACTAAAAATCAGTAATTATTAAAACAAACATATAAAAGCTAATCATGATCTTTTACCATTATCTCTATATGTTGCTCTAGAACATTATTTTCTAGCTTTAGTTCAGATTTTTTTAGGATTAGCGGGGGTTTTAAGCCACTGATCAATCGCACTTTCATACTTCCTTGGTTCTTGCAGCCAGTCCTGATGCCACCTGAGGTTCGCTATAACATTTGAATAGTTCTGCCCTACATTTTGCTTCCACTTGATAAACTGCTCTTTATTGTATCGGTGGACAGAAGCAGAAACCTTAGGGTAGTTTATAATGGAACGAAGCTTCCGATCCAAAGAATATGTAACTTCTGGAAATTGTGTAGCAATATTTGTTAGTTCATCTGGATCTGAGGAAAGATCTGGAAGAAAAAAATGAAATAGCTGTCAAAACAGCTACCTGCTACAAAAACATATTTTAGAATGCCATTACTCTGTGACAGATAATGTATTTGAGTTTATTTTTATTTTCAGTTCCTCTTAGCATAATAAGATGGACAGTTCTCTAAATCTATGTCCAAATTACCTTCCTACCATCATCCTGCTATCTCATTTTTTTTTCTTATCCATTCTTGGATGGCAGAAATAGATGAACTCTTATCACTAGAAAGCTGGCTTAGCCCTAATTCTTCCTGGTTTTGATGCCTTGTTTACTATGACATACAGAGAAAAAAAAATAGTAATGCTTATATTCTCCCATTTCAACAGCCCCACACTTTCCAGATATAAGAATTCTTTACATAGTCAAGTCATATTCTTGCAACCTCACTTATTCTTAGTTTTCTGTATATTTTAGCATCTTGTGCTTGGATTTTTGAACATTCAGTTCATCAACACTGTCCATTTGAGCAAATAGCCATGGAAATAAGAATGTATCTCAATTGCTACCACCAAGAAAAGAATGATAAATATTTCAGAACATAAATACCCTTTTTACCTAGGTAAAAGGAAGACAGAAAATATAACAGGATGTCAATCTAATTGGAAAAATAGCAAATCAAAGATCTTATGACAATTTACTTAAGATAATAAATGAACATTACATGTTGACGGAAAAACCTCTATGAACCTATGTGGTGCATTTGCCAGAAGAGCCCTGATGACATTTATGACTTTGTTAGATGACTTCAGATGGCACCACTTTGGGAAAGGGAAGTCAGCGAATAAACCCCAGAGAATACAGGAAAGGCAGGCTCACCCACTGATCCTTTGACAGTCACATCTGCTTTTTTGCAGAACATGTCCAGGGAATTGGGCAAGAGATGCCCTTACATATCAGGATGAAAATTTAAGGACTTTCCTTTGAAGCCAAGAATCTCCTGCTCTTTAAGGGGGGGAAGGGGGAGGCCAATCAATTTAGCCCCTAAAGAATTATTTGGAGTTAATAATTTTGACATTTGTAACTGGAAAGGAAACTTAGGGATAAATAAATATTAATAATGGCATATTTTATGTGAAAAAGGGGGGCAAAGGATAAGTAAAACCTGAATTTAATCATGATGCTTTAAAATTAATTCATAGAGGGGCACCTGGGTGGCTCCATTGGTTAAGCATCTGACTCTTGATTTTGGCTGAGGTCATGATCACAGGGTCCTGGGATCGAGGCCCACGTCAGGCTCTGTGCTGAGCGGGGAGTCTGCTTGAAAGTCTCTCTTTCCCTCTCCCTACGCCCCTCCCCTCTGTGCACGCTCTTGCTCTCCAAAATAAATGAATAAATCTTTAAAAAAAATGAAAAATAAAATTAATTTATAGAGTAGTGAAGCTAGCAGGCATTTTTGTGGAGTAGAAGGAGCATGGATTTTGAAGTTACACCTGGGTTAAAATCCCAGTTCTGCCACTTAGCTGTGAGATCTTGCACAGGTATTTGAATCTCTTTCACCCCTAGTCTTCTCTATAAAATGAGGATAATGGTATCATCTTATATAATAAATGTAGAATGTCAGGCTTCACAAGATGCAGGGGTTAATCTCCCGAACAGCTGAAACCAAGGGATCATGAGAGGGTGTTGACTACTGTTTGGAAAAATAACCATGACTATTAGCAGACACCTTGATCAGAGAAAACTGTGGTTTCAGTTTTGAGACCCTGATCAAAAGTCTTTGGACACTTGCTCTGGAATTCAGATGATTTGCAAAGAAGCTGCAGCTCACATGGGTAACCTTTTGTAGATTGTCCTGGCATAAGAAGAAGCAGATATTTATTTATTTAACCAATGATGACTGGATCTCTTGAGCAACACTATGGAGGTCAGCTCATTCCATATAATTCTACACTTAAAAATATATCAACAGGTTTACCAAAGAGTTGAGGCAATACTGAAGTACCATCAGAGTAGGCTATATACTTCCACTGGTTGGTCCGAAGCATATAGGTGGAAGCATTCACATTGCATCCATGGAATTCACTCAGAATCCAGGGCGGATGTAGGTTTTTGAATTTATGTTCATTCTTAAACATTTCTGATGATAATGGCAACAAAGAGTATCCACTCAGGTTCTGAGGCAGAGGAGCTCCAACAATATCTATGTAACAAAATAACATAATATTTTTAAATAGCTTATTCTTTCATTAGTTGAAATATTCATAAATGACATCGTTAGAGGTTGTGGAGACCAAAGACCATGTATGGATTTTGTAAATAGATGGCCTAGGTCCAAACGCTTACTTCATTAGCCATGTGCCCTTGGACATGATATTAACCACTCTGAACCTCAGTTTCCTCATTTGTAAAAGGTGAATAATAATCATACCTGTACTTCATACACTTATTTTAGGTTTAAATATGATAATTTACGTAAGGTTCTGAGAATAGCACCTGATAGGAAACCCTCAACAGATATTAATCAGTCCTTTATTTCTGAAACATAAATAATTACAGTTGTTTCTCAAATTTGTTTCACCAGATATTAAGATAAAAGACCTATATGAGAAAGGGGTTTAGTAGTCATATATCTTTGCAAACAGTGATTAAGTAGGCAAATTTGTTGTAGATGTAAATTTATTGCTGATATATATATATATCATAAACCTTTAAGGGTGGCATAACAGTATGCCATTTGTCCCAGAGTTATTTGTTGACATAACATTTTTACCCTCAAGCAGCATATTGAGGGGCTAGTATTTTGCAGAACATACTGATTTAGGGAAAAATAATTTATTATCCCCTTATCAAATATAAACATATAAAATATAGCATGAGAAATGTCTAACTTAAAATGAGGTATTTTTATTTTATTTATTTTTTAAAGATTTTATTTATTTATTTGACAGAGAGAGACATAGCGAGAGAGGGAACACAAGCAGGGGGAGTGGGAGAGGGAGAAGCAGGCTTCCCGC